ATTACAAAAATATGGTGAATATGATTTAAATAAATCTGCAATGTTTTTCATTAAACAATATAGAAATGGTAAGTATGGTAGGTATACGTTAGATGACGTATCGACTGAAGGTTTAAAAGCTTATTTTACGGGAGATGGTGATTCAGACAAAGATGTAATTATGAGTAAGAATCAAAAGAAAAAGTTGGAATGGGAAAAGATCACGGAGAAAAGATTGAATAGATGGAAGAAACAGGGTTATTTAACTGGAAAGGGTAAACAGGGCGTTCAAGGTTTTAAAAAAGGTTAGATGGGGTATTTTTGATATAGATAATCCATATATTGTATATTCATTCTATACACATTACACTGTTTCATGAATAATTTCAATAATTAATGATTAATAGAGGCAATAACTGTCGCTATGATACGTTTAATATAAGTGTTATATTTCCTTCTATGAGCTCTGTATAGAAAATATATAATTGATCATTTGTAATATTTCGTTCTGCACTTTGATTTGATACTAATTTTAACATGCCTAATAAGAATCCCGAACAATATTTATGATAAAAAGGTTATGTGTGAAAGTGGCTAATACTAATCAAATCTTTTTAAACTGAAAACTTAATTAGTTAACAATCAAAACTCAAGAAAATGGATGATAACCCCTGTTAGTTTATTCAGAGTCCCGCTTAATACACTTTATCTATTTATAAATCTATCTAATTATATTATTCTCATGTCTGATAACTGCGTCGTGAGTAATCAAATTTACGTAACTTGCCAAAAGTAAGGCATTTTTTTCTTTTTTTTATTATCTTTTTCACAAATTTTTTAAATTTATATAGACTATATGTATAAATGTATATATATATAATATCCACACGACTCTTGCACATCACCCAAATAAATGTCCATACAATGTTATAATAAAAAAAATACCTATTCCATTTTTTACTCCATGAAACACGCATTCAAATCTAAACTTGATATGTAATATAGTAATGAAACATATAAAATACCATTATAAAATTAAAGAATGTTAAACTAAGAATGTCCAGCCTCATAACCGATCCTATGAATCATCATATATACTTTCATATAAATACACTAATGAAAATGAGATAAAAAGAATAGCTCCTAGCATAGTAACTTTAAAATATTAAGAATGAAAATATAGCATTAGATTGGGAAATTAAAACTTAATCAACTTAACCATCGATAGTATTCTAAGATTAAAATTTACCTTTTTTTATGGAGATCTTTGCAGCCATGAACCTACCTCCAATAACAGCGAGACCAGTACATAAACAATGACCAGTTATCGTACCCAAAGTTACCCAATACATATCCTAATTTATTAGAGTTTGTAAATAATTGAGATGCCTGTTTCCCTTGAAAAGATATTTGAAAATTAAAATTATTACCTGTGCAGCAGCCAAAGCAATTGTTGCAATTTGTGATCTATCGCCCCACTCTGCCAGGAACGTGAGTACAAATGTTTGGACGAAAATGGGTGAAAATAAAAATTGACATAAATTAATTAATCCTTCTACAAATGTTACTGGAGCAGTTTCGTCCTGTATACCACCAGCCTCTGTAGCTTCTATAAGTTCAATTTCTTCTTTTTCTTTCAATTCTGCTGAAACTTCCTCCAATTCATTCTTAGCCTCCTCATCCGACATTTGTACACTCTCAAATGCCATTTTTATTCCAAAAAATAAAAATAAAAATGAAGCTAAATAATTGGTATATGTACGTGGAATCAAGTTTGGAACTGCATGACCTAAAGCTGCAGAAAGGATTGACATGAGTGCTAAAGCACTAAAAGCTGCCGAAAAAACTAAAAGCCTGGCATTTTTCATTGCCATTATAGCAGCAATAAAGAATGTCTTGTCGCCTATTTCTGATACTATAATCATAAGAGTGCTAAAAAGGAAAGGTTTTGAGCCTTCAGCCTCAGTAAGAGGGAATTTTGACTTTCTAGTTGCGTCGTTTAAATCTATTTCAGGGATTGATCCTGGACTTTTGTCAGATTCTGCATTCACAAGCATATCAAGAACAATAATTGAAAATAGACAAGAAATCACTAATGATTTCTGTAAAAGTCTCCGTCGCAACAACATAATTGAATCTGAAACTCAATTGAGAGCAGTCCACTTAATTTTCTTATTGATTAATATTTATCTTACAACGAATCTCTTATGATTTTTCAAAGGCAGTTACCGTTACGGTAAATCTAACGTTCTGATCTGGTCTATGACTGGTTCGAATTTAACAGGTATCACGTGAAACAGGCGGAAACAGGACACGGACATTTTTTAAATGCTGTGTAATATTCCGTGATCCGTATGACTAGATCGGGCAGATACTTTTATCCATCCGTAACCATAAAATTAATCCGGATTCGTATATTTAAATATATAGAAGATGGACTTGGAAATCCATCGCTTGGCACTTTCTAATTCTGAGATTTTTGACTCTAATTAAAATATTTTGTTTTTACTTATATACTGTAATTTTAATCCGATGCCGAATTAATAAAATAAGATATTTTAATTGGCGAACTGAATTCAGGCATGTTACCTTGTTTGTATAAAAAATTTGAATTAAAAATCCGGAATTTAAATCCGTGTAACTATACTTGTTGGCAAAACCCGGACAAATCACAAACTTCCAAAAAACAAGTTGTCCAAAAAAATAACGATCATCACTACCTCTAGATATATTTAGGGTTAGGGTTAGGAATTAGAGAATTATTTTTTTTATATAAAATAATATAGAGCTAATATAAAATCCTAAATTTAGTTTTTATGAAGTTTTTGGGGGTTCTGAACATTTTTACTTAGGATACCCGATCCAGTTTACTTACATTTTTTGAAATATAAACACCCTGGTGATGATCACTACTGGTTATAGTTAGTAAGATTTTTATTTTTTTTTTGTAAAAGAGGTCTTTTCCTCATTTCTTTATTTCGTATAAATATATGATTTACAATTTCTTGTAAATGATATATTAATCTTTTTGTAGAAGGGAGAATAGAGCTATAGCTATTTATTAATTTACTTCAGACCTAAATTTTAGCTAGATAGGTCATGACCTCTAGGCTATGTTATTTATTTAGATAGGAGAGTGGTTATTTTCTATGTACTTGTTTAACCATCTATTGTAATTTAGCTGTTTTGTGAGTGTATTATGTGTATTGTTATTAGTGTTGTTGTCATTTGTTTGTGCTTGATTTAAACTCCAATTGTTTTGTGCAAATGGTGTTGGAGTAACATTGTCATTGTTATATATGCTTATTCGTGATAGAATCCATATCTGGTCATAAATTCTCTTTATTATTAGGTGATGAAGTTGTGTTGTATTGTTAGTTGTGGATGAGTTTTGACTTATTAGAAATAATGTTTTCTTAGTTATAACTCCAATCGGGATTCTTTTGTTTAGATAGTTGTTTATAAAGTTGGTTGTGAAGTGTTGGTAAGTGTTGTTGCTTTGCAGTAGGTCTATTTCCTTTAATACATCTTGAATAATTTGTTGGATTGTTATTGTATTTTTATTGTATATTATCCAATGTGTCAAGTCCTCTATACTATTATGGCATCGTAAACATGTTGCTATCTTATGTTTGTCAGGGTGTCTGTTGTAGAGATTGAGGAGTGTTGATAGTTTATTAATAAGTAACTTGATTTTGAAGGATCTGATTTTTGCTTTTGCAAGACAGGTTGATCTAGCCAGTGGTTTGTCTTTGTAGTTTGTGCAATCGTAGATTAGCTGCCAGTTTATCATAAGGTTATTGTTCGACCATAAGTGGATGCACTTCTGGTATATCTATGAGTTTATTCTTTTTGCTCTGTGTATATCTTTTATTGTTCTTTTTACTAGGTGTAATATGTTGTGTGAGGCTAAGTGTGGCATAAAAGTATTGGATAGTATTTTTGATGGGCTGAATTCTGTTGAGGTTGGTGGTAGAATAGTGTTTGGTTTTGCTATTATTGGTTCTATTTTTATTGTTGTAAACTTAATGAGTGTTAGGGTGTTTATACTTTGTAGATATGTTGCAAAGTTGTCTTTTCATAATTTTTTGGTATTAATAAATGTGGTAATTTGTTTGAAATTTATGTGTTTGAGGTATTTGGAGTTTGTGTAGATGTATATTGTAGTTTCACTTGGTATAATTATAAAGCAGATCAGGGTTGTGATAAGTGCAATTTTTTGTAGTGTGGGCCAAGTTTTATTTTTTATTGTAATAAGTGGTGCTTCATTATCGATAGTGATTGTTGCGATAGGGTATATTATTGATTTTATTGGTAGTTTGTTATGTTAATAATGACTTTGTAGGTTTTCTGTAGTGTGAGTTGTAGGAACTTATTCCATATTGTGTTTTGAATATTGCTAAAGATGTGGGATACTCTGTGTGAGAATATATATTTGGCAGGAATATATTGATATAATGTAAGTCGAGTTGTTGAGTGTAGTGGTTGGGTGTATAGCATTAAGTTGTAGCTATGCCATTTCTTTTTTGTATCAACTAAGGTTGAGTATACATGTTTGATATTTAGGGTTGGGGGCATGGAGGTTGGAGGCATGCCCCATGGGGCATGCCCCTGAGCATGCCTAGGTACATGCCCTTTAACCAAAAGGCATGCCCCTGTCATGTGATCTATAGCTAATATATGATTGGCTATTTTAGTAAATAACTAATTAGAATATAAATATATCTTATTATAGTATATATATACTTTTATTATCTATATTATTTCATTGACAATCATTCACTGACAAGTTTATTTTACTGATAGTCTAGTTACTGAAGCTTATTTTACTAACAAGTTTTTTTTAATAACTCTAATGATATTGGCCAAAATTACTTTTGTCTGTAAAATAAGCTTTGGTGAAATAAACTTGTTGGTAATTGTCAGTGAGTTGATTGAATCCCTTTTATATCTAGAGGGGCATGCCTGGGGCATAGAGAGGCATGCTCTTCACAAAGGCATGCTCTCTAAGCCATGCCTTAAAAATTTGCCGTGCCCCCAACCCTATTGATATTTCTTTTTATTATGCAGATTTTTGTTTTGTGTGGATTTTCTTTGTATTTACAAGATAGGCAGGAGAGTAGTTGTAAGATTGCTTGATCAAGAATCCAGTGTTTTATATAAAGTGTGCCATTGCTATAGGTAGATATTTTGCCAAACAATTTATCTTTAGTAATAACCCATTTGTTCTTTCTTATTGTGGCTTGTTGCCATGTAAATGGGTTGGGTGTAGTTAGTTTAGTTGTAGGAGCTTGGGCATCAGCAATGGTATTTGTTATTTGTGTGAACCATTTAAAAATTTTTTCAGTAGAGATTTTGTTGATATTATAATGAAACTGTGTTCAGAAGAGGAATTGGTCATTTTGGTAATTAAGAAATTGTTCAATAGCAATAATTCTATACTTGTTTAGAGATGTTTTGGTTGGTGTAGGTATGGCACATACTTTAGTATTGTATTGATAGGTGTTTTTAGATTTTTTATTAGTATAGGCCAGGTGTTAGATTGGTTTAGGCTGAGGTTTAGTGTGTAGAGAGTGAGTATCATATGTGCCAAGAAGGTTTTTATAGCTGCTGATGAGAATATTGGTGGTGTTTGTAGTATTGATGTAATTGACAATATCATGTTTTGAAGGTTTTGTAAGTATATACATGTTGTATTGGAGTTGGGGGCAGGTGTGTGAAGAATAGTATCCAGAATTTGCATTTGCAGATTTTGTTGTAGGTCTGTGATATTTTGTAGAGCATATATGTATAGGTGCAGTAGCATTAAGTTTGAAACTGCTTTTGCAAGGCCTGCTTTTTGTTTTACAATGCCTATATAACTGTGCTAAATTCTTTTACATGTGGATAATAGAATATTAATATTTTGAATTTGGTATCTTAGTTGAGTGAGTATTACAGTGTTTATTATGTAGATTGCTTGCTTGTCTGTGATTTTTGACAGAGTTAGTTTTTTGAGATCTTTGTTAATTTCTTTTGTAATTATCTTGATTATGGGTTTTTTGTATATATTTATGTGCCAAGAAATCTGAGTGTTTGTTGTGGGGTGATATTTTGGATTTGTACGTTATAAAATAATATTGGAGTAGTGTTTCTAGAATTATTGTACATCAAGATAGCTTTTGTTGGGTTTATAGTGATGCTTGTGAATTTATAGAATGATAAGGCTATTTCTAGGGTTTTTTCAAGTTATGATTAGTTGGATGCAATCCAGGTGATGTTATCCGTGTAGGCGATAATAGCAGTTTGTATGTGGTGGTTAGATCTATTAGGTGTTGTTGTTGACATGATATATCCTAATATTTCAGTTGCTATTCTGTGAATTAATAGGTCATAATATATATACTATAGTAAAGTGGAGATAATTTCTCCTTGATCAATTCTGTCCTCAATGTAATAATGATTTGTTTTGCCAATTGTTGTTATGATTTGATTTTGTCGATTGGAAAAAAGATTAGTTATTGTGTTTATAATTTTGGTTGGTAGATTGATTTTTTCAAGAGCTAATCGTAGAAGTGGGAGATAAACAGTATTATATACTTTCGACATGTCTTGAGATATAATCCAAAGTTCTTTACTATTAAGTATTGAGTTTTCTTGAATCTGAGTAAGTTGTTGAATTGTCATAAGTGTTGAGATAAGTAGTAGAGCTACGTTGTTTGCTAGGAAGAAAGCTTGGTATCATGTTAAGATTTTATTTAAATGGTTAGTTAGTATTTTGTAAATATTTTTCTTGGGTGCTCAATGAGGGTAATTGGCTGTGTTTTGCTTAGATTACCTTATTATAGGCTGTTTTGGCGATAGGCTAAATGAGGCTATGTTTTCAGCTTTTTGGGATATTGTTTAGTTCTAGGCATTGATTCAGCATATCAGTTAGGTAGTTGGTAGCTATACTTGGCAGTTTCTTGAGCATTTCGTTTGATAGGAGGGATGGTCTGGTGGTTTTGCTAGTAGAGGATTCTCTAATTGCTATGGTGACTTCATTTGTGATAATTGGGTTTGTCAGTTCATTGAATATGCCAGATAGTGTATTGTTTATTCATTTGTAGTATTTTTTCTATTGTTTACATTCGTTGTTATCACTTGGGTT